AAAAAAAAAAAAAAAGTTAGAAACCAGCCTGTGCCAGAGTGACACCCTGTCTCAAATAGCTGGGCTTTGTAGCGGGCACCTGTAGTCCTAGCTACTTGGGAGGCTGAAGCAAGAGAATCAGTTAAGCCAAAGAGGTTGAGTTGTGGTTGCTATGAGTGTGACACCATGGCACATTACCGAGGGCAATATAGTTAAGACTCGGTCTCAAAAAAAAATCATTAGGAACCTTGTGGGTGGGTAGGCATGAGTGGACTGGCTGGCTACAGGTAGGCAGGGTTAGGCCCTCAGATTCAGTGGCCACTCTTTATAACTTTTTCTTCAGATGGGGACCTCCAGGTATAGCTAAACTTGTTTCTGCCTTGCTGAGACTACTGATACCAGTTTTTTCCTTGTTTCTGCCATTGCTGAGACTACTGACACCATTTATCCTTGTCTGAGTCTTGGTTACTCCAGCTGAGCCCCAGTGGAAACTCCCCTTTACCCATAGCTCTTGGCCTGGACCATCCACAAGTGTTCTCATCAAGCCTTCACTGGATCAAAACAGTGTTGGGCATGACAGCCTGGCAAATGGGGGCCTATACTCCATGAAAAGCCCACCATGTTGGGCCAGGCACAGTGGCTCACGCCTGTAATCCTAACACTCTGGCAGGCAGAGGTGAGTGGATTGCCCAAGCTTCCAAGTTTGAGACCAGCCTGAGCCAGAGCATAGAACTCTTAAGAACAGCCAGGTGTTGTAGCAGATGTCTATAGTTGCTGCTACTTGGGAGGCTGAGGCAAGAGAATCACTTAAGCCCCAGAGTGAGGTTGCTGTGACACCATGGTACTCTTACAAGGTAACAAAGTGAGACCTCAAAAAAAAAAAACACCCTCATGTTGGGAGTAGAGGCTGGGAGAGGGTGCTGGAAATGGGTGTACAGCTGACCTTAGGCTTCCCAAGCCCTGAACATCCAAGGTGGCTTGTCACCCCTAACCTCAATCTGCTATTTGGCTTTATGCCAAGCAACTCTAGTTCTTGGCCCCAGGAGCATTAAGCTAGTAGTCACACAAGCTCAGAAACTAGTGTCCAATGTGTTTTATTACAGAGGGGTCGTCATAACAATCCTGGGCATCTGCTGGTACCCTGGGAGTGGCAGGTGGGGCAATCAGTCCCTCCTCAGGTTCTTGAGTCGCTCCTCCAGGTCTGCATCAGCATCAGCCAGGGCTGAGGCTGCAGCCTCTGCTTTTTTCCCACCAGCAGCCACACTGAGCGAGCCTCCAGTTGAGGGGAGGTCTACAGGGGAAAAGAACATGAAAGTACTTATGCAAGAAGAGCTATGGTCAGTGAAGCCCAGTGGAGAAGACTAATGCAGAGATGGAGAGTCTGGGGCTGTGGCTGGGCCCTCCTTGGGTAGGAAGTGGGACTTTCTTTTTGGAGCACTCACTTGACAGCTCGTCTGTCAGGCTCAGTCCCAGTTCATCCAGGACCTGGGACACAACAGCATCGCTAGAAAAGAGATAACTCTTGTCAGAGCTATACGAGGGTGAGGGTTAGGCACGCATCTCACTCAGTTTCTCCATACCTCTCCTCTTCATCTTCTTCATCACCCATGGCATCATCTATGGCATCATTCATCATCTCCTCCTTCATGTCCATGATCTCTGCCTGCCGCTCAAACTCCATCATGATCTTTTGAATCTGGGGTAATTTCAGCTGAAAAGGAGAGAGGGAGACTGGTCCTCACAGGTCAGGTGGGTGTAGGAAGGGGGTATTGGGGGGAGTATACCTGTCTGTTCATGGTGCCCATGGCCTTGGTGACACCTTTCATAGCTTGTGCCATGGAGTTGTTGGACTTGAGTGTCTGGATCTTGAGGGACACAGCCTGGATGTTGGCCCGCATCAACACAAACTTGCGCACATAGCGCCGAGTGCGAACCAAGTCTTTTGCCATAATGCGCACAGCATCCTGTGGAAATAGACAAGGGTATTAAGGACACCCTTGGTGCAGCTGTGGTGTCCCCTCCCTGCCCCAGCCTCAATACCACCATACTCTCAAGTCTTCAGGGACCTTATGTTGGTTAAGCCAATAGTTAATACTCTCCTGCTTCCAGACTTCACCCTCTGCCTCATGGGCCACCACTCCCTGGACTCTGTAAGATCCTCAACACTCTTACATTTTTTTTTTTTTTGTAGAGACAGTCTCACTTTGTTGCCCTTGGTGGAGTGCCGTGGCCTCACACAGCTCACAGCAACCTCCAACTACTGGGCTAAAGCAATTCTCTTGCCTCAGTCTCCCGAGTAGCTGGGACTACAGGCGCCTGCCACAACGCCCTGGCTATTTTTTGGTTGCAGTTTGGCTGGGGCTGGGTTTGAACCTGCCACCCTTGGTATATGGCTGGTGCCCTACTCACTGAGACACAGGTGCTGCCCCCTCAACACTTAATTCCCAAATTGCTGGAAGGTAGGCCTGGGCTCCCTGCTTAGGAGATCCTTTTCCTCCATGTCTGCAGTCACTCCCTTAATTTTACAACAAAATTCCTGTTTCTATCCCCAGCCAAAACAAAAACATCTGCCTCTTAATTCTTTAACTAGAATTACATATAAACCTATTGAAGACTCAGCTATTGATTTTCTCCCCAAAGATCTTCCTCGCCTATCCCAATTAAAGGGATCTCCTTCTCAGCTGTTCAGGCAAAACCCCCGTCATCCATTAAATCAGTGGTTCTCAATCTTCCTAATGCCAGATCCTTTAATACAGTTCCTGTGAGTCGAAACCCACAGGCTGAGAACTGCATTAAGTCTGTTCCTTCTCAATGGTCTCCCTACTGGTTCTGCTGTGTACAGCTTCTTACCAGCTTTGTAGTTAAATTTTTTTCTGGTTTTTGAGACCGTCTCACTTTGTCCCCCTCAGTAGAGTGCTGCAGTGTCACAGCTCACAGCAACCTCAAACTCTTGGGCTTAAGAAATTCTCTTGCCTCAGCCTTCAAAGTAGCTGAGACTACAGGCGCCCGCTACAATGCCTGGCTATTTTTTAGAGACAAGGTCTCATACTGGCTCAGGCTGGTCTGGAACTCGTGAGCTCAGGCAATCCACCTGCCTCAGCCTCCCAGAGTGCTACGATTACAGGTGTGAGCCACCTTGCCCGGCCCTTATAGTTAACTTTTCAACTAATCATACTATATAGTTAACAATTCTGAGTCATCTGGCCTCCACCCAAGCCTTGGACCTCACCAGTGGTTTTGCTGAGAATCTCCCATGTAACATGAGCTATTCTGTCGGCTTAACACACTACCCTACAGAGATCTTGCAGGCTCATTGCCCTCACTCAAGCCTTGGCTCCTCCATAGCACCTTCTCCAAGACAGTCTTCCAGACTCCCAAATGAGGAAAGCTCCATTCACCATTCTCCATTCAGTACCTGTCTACTGGTGTTTTGCCAGTCTTATTTACTGCTTTTACAGCAGTGCCTGAGTGATGGCACCTTGCCCCTGACTACCCGAACTCACCATCTGGCCCTGTTTAGCCATCTTCTTGATGTCTGCAATGATTTTCTTTTCCTGGGTCTCTAGTTTTTGTCGTTCACGGTCCAACTCCCGCATGGCGCGGTTCAGGGCCCTTTGGTTCTGCCGCAGGAGCTCCTCTGGCGTCTTTCGGCGCCCGAACAAAAGGTCCATGGTGGTAGGAGCCCACTGACAAGCCTGAGACAGATGTGGGGCCTAGCTGTGGAGTATAGGGGACTAAGAGAACAAGAAGCACATTGGGGTCATGGAGTTCTTAAAATGAGAAGAGGCAAGCAAGGACAGGAGACATGTAGCAGGGGCCAAACGGAAGCAGCCAGGAACATTGGGGCTACCGTGGGGACACAGGACAGATAGACCTGAAAGTCATCCATCTTATGCAAGACCAAGCCCCTCCTTCATTACCATGATTCCACAAAGGTTAAGGTGTGGAAGTTAAAGTTCTCTCTCCAGACTCAAAGGGTAAGGCTTTGGAGTCTTACACGGACTAGGTGGAGGTGGACGTGAATGGGTGCCCTGGAACATTTGGAACCTTGGGCACCCAGGACAAGTCTGTTGTAGGGGGGACCCGGCGGGGGAGGACAGTATAGGTGGAGGTTCTGAGTGCTAAAAACAGGGTGGATGTGGAGGCTCTTAAGTTGAGAATTGGGAGGTGTCCCTTAATGGTGAGGGAACCTGGGTGAAGGAAACAGTTGTGGGCAGTGGGGCGCACTGTACACTGAAATCGGAGCGTCAACGGGCCTTGCACACCAAAGGCAAGACGGTGTTGGAGACACCGATGGTGCGGCCAGGAGAATCAAAGAGAGCCAAGGCAAGGGATGCCCCAGCGAAGAGACGCCCTGGTACAGCCGCCGCCCGCGAGCCCGCCCGGGACCCGCGGTCCAGCAAAGGCCACTCACCAGAGACGGGACGAGGGACCCACTTCC